ATACTATACTATACTATACTATACTAAACTATACTATACTATACTCAAACTTGATTTAAAACAAATGGGTTGCCTAGCTTGAATAAATAAAATAAATAAATAAATATGAAATGGTTGAAGGCTGCTGCAGTGATGGTTTTGTAACAAATTATTATTAAAATTATTAATGATAACAAACAACACATGGTTAAAAACGAAAAACAGCATTCTTAACAGATAAAAACATTGAAAAAATAAAATAAATTTTAATTTATGCTATACTATACTGCTTTCCACAATTCATGCTTTATTGTAACAATTGTAAAACAAAGGGTTGCCAACACATGTATATATATATATATATATTTTTTTTTTACATTTAAACTACAAAACTTAGCTTTAATAAATAAATAAATGAATACAAACATGCATACTTCTGTAACGAGGTTAATCAGCCGTTGTCCGGCAGGTGTCAGTGTGTGTCTGCGCACTGTGTGAATCACGGGCAGAATAATCGCGAAGAAGCCGTTATGTCATCGCGAGATTTCAGTCATTGTCGTTATTTCAAAGATGGCTGCCGAGGCGGGATCTGTGCCGGAGAGAGACACAGCAGAAGGGTGAGAAGCAATAAAAACATGCTTTAATCCATAAAAACACTGATATTAAGTCATTAGAGACATGCTCAGATTTATATTCCACAGCTGTGGTGTTACTAGCGCTGCTCAGCGCACAAACACAGCGGCGCAGTCACTGCAGCGTTAGAATGAAGTGCTGCTGTTTCTGTTTATCTTCTCATTTATGTGAATATAGATTTTTTTTGTCCCCCGTGATTGTACATTTATTGATTTAACGTTTATATACTGAACATACTGCGATTGTTTAATGTATTTTAACACGATTTTATCTTAAAGGTCCCTGCCCAATCAAAAACGTCGTTAATCCGAATACGAGTTTCATTTCTTTCTGCTCTCTTTGTGGTTCTGTGTTTGTTTTCATAATGATTTGAGTATAAAAGAGCCATTTATGCGCCAGCAGGTGCTGACACGGGTTGCTGTACAGGTCAGCAGTGTTGATGTGTAAATGTGGGCGGGGATATGTTAATGAGCTCGTGATATGTTAATGAGCTCGTGGTTAAGAATGAGTGCCTGGTCAGTTCTGGTGGGTTTATCTCATGTTGTCTCGAATGTGTGTTTTTGCAGAGATGCATCGTTTGGAGATCTGACCACAAACATGGAGACGGAGTCGTCCAGTGGAAAAGAGACTATGGTTTGAGGAATCATATGCAATGCTCTTATTGCAAGGATTTATTTTATTTATATGTAATTTAAGGATTATATTGTTATATAATGATTAAATATATTGTTATAATTTATTATATACTTTATATAATTAACTTTTTTTTCATTTTTCTTTAATATATTAATATGAATTTTTACTTTTCATTTACTTTTTTGTTATTTGTCATTAGTTTTTGCTTTTTTAAAATATTTCTCTATAGATTTAATTAAGTTTTTTTTCTTAATTTCTTTCAGTTTTATTTATTTAACTTAAACATGTTTATTTCAGTTAGTTGTCAAAGCAACATTTGTAATTTTGTTGCAACATTCCTTGTTTTTTTTAAAGTTTGTTTTTCATCTATTATTTATATTTGATTTAGTTTCAATTAATTAAAGAGTTTATTTAGTTTGGGATCCGTAAGATTTTTTAAATGTGTTTTAAAGAAGTCTCTTCTGCTCATCAAGGCTGCATTTATTTGATCAGAAATACAGAAAAAACACTTATATTGTGAAATATTATTGCAATTTAAAATAACATTTTATTTATTTATTAATCTATTTCAATATACTTTAAAATGTAATTTATTTCTGTGATCAAAGCTGTATTTTCGGCATCATTACGCAGTCTTCAGTGTCACATGATCTTCAGAAATCAGTATAATATGCTGATTTATTATCAATATTGGAAGCAGTTTTTGCTGCTTAATATTTTTTGGAACCTGTGATACTTATTTTAGGATTTTTTTGATGAATAAGAAGTTAAAAAGAACAGCATTTATTCAAAAGTTCGGGGTCAATAACGTTTTTCTTTCTTTTTTTTTTTTTTGTTGTTGAAAGAAATAATTTTATTCAGCAAGGATTTGTGCAATTGATATAAAGTGATAATAAATACTTATTAAATGTTTTCTACATTAAATGTATTCATCAAATAATCCTGAAATAAGTATCACAGGTTCCAAAAAATATTAAACAGCAAAACTGCTTCCAATATTAATAATAAATCAGCATATTATACTGATTTCTGAAGATCATGTGACACTGAAGACTGCGTAATGATGCTGAAAATACAGTTTTGATCACAGAAATAAATTACATTTTAAAGTATATTGAAATGGATTAATAAATAAATAAAATGTTTTTTTAAACTGCAATAATTTTTCACAATATTTGTGTTTTTTCTGTATTTCTGATCAAATAAATGCAGCCTTGATGAGCAGAAGAGACTTCTTTTAGAAACATTACAAATCTTACTGATCCCAAACTTTTGAACGACAGTGTATAACATTTTGTGGATAGAAAGACCTAATATTTAGTATTTCATTGAATGTCCTGCATCACTAGGAAATATGCCACATTACAGAATGTGCCGTTTCGTGTTGCTTTTCAGTGTAACGTAGCATAGTGTCTGTGTGTGTGTGTGTGTGGTCAGGACACGGCGGGTGACAGCTCGGAGGCGGCGGATGCACAGACGGGGTCTGGAGACGATGAGAACGGCCGTCAGCTGGGGGAAGTGGAGCTGCAGTGTGCGCTGTGCATGAAGTGGTTTACTGCAGACACGTTCAGCATCGACACGGCGTACGTTTGTGTCCTGACGCAGATGGACGAGTGTCTCGCGTGCATGTTCTTACGCTGTCTGTTTGTTCTTCCCTGCAGAACTTGCCTGCCCTTCGTGACCAATTATGTGTTTCACTGCAATGTGTGTCACCACAGCGGAAACACGTACTTCTTGAGGAAACAAGCAAGTGAGTGGATCAGTTTGACTTGCTGAGTTAGTGAACACTTTTGCATGCTGCTGTTACTATAATATCGTTACGTAGGTATTATATAGTATTTACTAGGGCTGCACAATTTGGAGAAAAAAAGGATTGCAGGATTTTATTTTTTATAAAAATTTTAAGAAAGAAGTCTCTTCTGCTCATCAAGGCTGCATTTATTTGATCAGAAATACAGAAAAAACACTTATATTGTGAAATATTGTTACAATTTAAAATAACATTTTATTTATTTATTAATCTATTTCAATATACTTTAAAATGTAATTTATTTCTGTGATCAAAGCTGTATTTTCGGCATCATTACGCAGTCTTCAGTGTCACATGATCTTCAGAAATCAGTATAATATGCTGATTTATTATCAATATTGGAAACATGTTTTGCTGCTTAATATTTTTTGGAACCTGTGATACTTATTTTAGGATTTTTTTGATGAATAAGAAGTTAAAAAGAACAGCATTTATTCAAAAGTTTGGGGTCAATAACTTTTTTCTTTCTTTTTTTTTTTGTTGTTGAAAGAAATAATTTTATTCAGCAAGGATTTGTGCAATTGATATAAAGTGATAATAAATACTTATATAGTTAGAAAATACTTTATTCATTAAATGTATTCATCAAATAATCCTGAAATAAGTATCACAGGTTCCAAAAAATATTAAACAGCAAAACTGCTTCCAATATTAATAATAAATCAGCATATTATACTGATTTCTGAAGATCATGTGACACTGAAGACTGCCGTAATGATGCTGAAAATTCAGCTGCGCATCACATGAATAAATTACATTTTAAAGTATATTGAAATGGATTAATAAATAAATAAAATGTTATTTTAAACTGCAATAATATTTCACAATATAAGTGTTTTTTCTGTATTTCTGATCAAATAAATGCAGCCTTGATGAGCAGAAGAGACTTCTTTTAGAAACATTACAAATCTTACTGATCCCAAACTTTTGAACGACAGTGTATAACATTTTGTGGATAGAAAGACCTAATATTTAGTATTTCATTGAATGTCCTGCATCACTAGGAAATATGCCACATTACAGAATGTGCCGTTTCGTGTTGCTTTTCAGTGTAACGTAGCATAGTGTCTGTGTGTGTGTGTGTGTGGTCAGGACACGGCGGGTGACAGCTCGGAGGCGGCGGATGCACAGACGGGGTCTGGAGACGATGAGAACGGCCGTCAGCTGGGGGAAGTGGAGCTGCAGTGTGCGCTGTGCATGAAGTGGTTTACTGCAGACACGTTCAGCATCGACACGGCGTACGTTTGTGTCCTGACGCAGATGGACGAGTGTCTCGCGTGCATGTTCTTACGCTGTCTGTTTGTTCTTCCCTGCAGAACTTGCCTGCCCTTCGTGACCAATTATGTGTTTCACTGCAATGTGTGTCACCACAGCGGAAACACGTACTTCTTGAGGAAACAAGCAAGTGAGTGGATCAGTTTGACTTGCTGAGTTAGTGAACACTTTTGCATGCTGCTGTTACTATAATATCGTTACGTAGGTATTATATAGTATTTACTAGGGCTGCACAATTTGGAGAAAAAAAGGATTGCAGGATTTTATTTTTTTATTTTTTATAAAAATTTCAAGCTTTTTTTTAAAATACAATTTCAAAAAGAAAATTCCAGGCTATGCTTGTTTGTATGGCTGTGCAAATTAGTCAGCATTTTCTGATTATATTATTATTATTATTATATTAGTAATATTATAGTAATATAACAATATTATTATTATTGTTATAATTAATACAAATATAAAAGTTATTCAATAAAAACAAAATAAATATTATTTGTATGATATAACAATAAAAAAGTAAAATAACATCATAATATAAATATTTTTAATTAACATTACAACTGTAAAATTACAATACTAATATTTATATCCATCCTCATTTCTTCATTTTCAAACGTTAAACATTAAATTGATTAAATTAAATAATAGTCAAGTCACCTTTATTTATATAGCGCTTTGTGTCAAAGCAGCTTTAGTGTTAAACAGGAAAAACCTGCTGATAATGCAAGATATTACATAAAAAATATTATAATAAATAATAATAATTGTTATTGTTATAATTACTTAATCAAATATAAAAATTACTAAATAAATATTATTTAATTTGCATTACAACTGTACAGTTACACTACTAATATGTATGTCTTAATTTCTTCATTTTTAAACATTAAACCTAACTTTTAATAATAATAATTATTACGATTGTTAAAATTACTTAATAAAAGATCAAAATGACTACTAATAGTAGTAATTTTAGTTTACATTAAAACTGTAACATTACAATACTAATATTTTATATCCATCTTAATTTCTTCATTTTCAAACGTTAAACTAAACTATTATTATTAATATTGATTATAGTTGTAGTCACTTAAATATAAAAATGACTAAAAAACTGAAGAAATGCTGCTTTTGCAATAAAAAAAACAAATCTGCACTAAACGATTTCGTAACGATTGTTTTATTTAGATGGTACAGCTCTAGCATATACTGCACAGCATGCATTAAGAAGTACATCCGTATTACATTCAGTCCGTTGATTCTTGATCGTTTAATGGTCAGATCTGAAGGAGATGTGTCTCACCACTTTGGCGAATCTGACATGGAGGTCCAGAACTCAAGAGGAGCATCCCAAAACAATGTTCTCTAAAGATAAGGTATGCTTTCAGCTGGAGTTAAGTGAGTGCAGTGCCATGTGTTTCACGTGGGGGTTTCAGTGGTGTTTGTTCTCTTGTGAAGGACATCATACCTTTCATTGACAAATACTGGGAGTGCATGACGACCCGCCAGAGGCCCGGCAAACTCACATGGCCAAATAACATCGTCAAGACTATGGTGAGTTATTTGAAATCACTTGCTGCTTCACCTTATTTCTTCTGTGTCTGTAATGTGGTTTATGGAGCTTTAGAAAGGCTGACTCTTGTTGTTTGGACTCAGAGTAAAGAGCGTGATGTTTTCCTGGTGAAAGAACATCCAGACCCCGGCAGTAAAGACCCTGAAGAGGACTATCCCAAGTTTGGTTTGCTTGATCAGGTGCGACTTTATAGACATCGGCTCGTATAAACACACAGCAGAATAAGACACTTCAAAATCACTCCGAGATTCAGGATTCACTGATATGATCTTCATGCTTAAGTCCAGTGTCTCTTAAACATGTTTTATTAAAGTCTGCTGCTTTAAGTTCACTTAGGAAATTATATAATGCAGCAAACAAGAAATGAAGTCAACCCTGAATCCGTTTTAGAGTTTGTATTTAAAGCAGACTTTTTAAATTGCTCTTTTATAGTATTTCAGCTTGTTACCTGACTTGAAAATAGGAAGCTGAAATTAAAACACCAACTTACTTGCATTGTATTTTTGCTATATTGCTAAAATATTTAAAAAGCAATGATCTTTTTTGCAAATACGCATTGTTATTGTATAGGTAAAATCAACTTTTTGCATTTTAATGCGTCTTAACATTTTGCTGTCTGATCATGTAATTAGTCAAAATGGAGATGCTGAATTGATATTACATTATGAATTTCACATATAAGCACAGTATGCTATACAGTATACTATACAAAGTGAAAAAGAGTAGTATTATTGTAAACTAATACTAATAAAAATGATTTATAAAAATAAAACTAATAAAAAAAACTTGTTTGCTAAAACTGAAAATACACTGAAATGTGCATATCAGTTGTAGTACTAAAATTAGTAAAGCTAAAATTGAAATAAAAATAAATTAAAGTTATATAAATAAATATTTGAAAAAAATAATCGCTAATAAAAATTACAAAAAGCACATACTGTAACTGAATGACTAAAATTAAACTGCAAATATAAAAAAATAAATAATACTAATATATTTATACTATATACAGTATAAGTAATACTAAAATAACACTCGTACAGTAGTATTCTATTCCAAAAATAAACGTAGTGGTTATGATTGGAATCAAATATTAGCATAATATGGGGTTCATACTGTAAATTGTCTTGTCTATTTTTGGGATAGTATACTAAATAGTATGCAGTAGGCATCAATTAGCAGAAGAATGCCATAAGTATGAATGTTATATTAATGCAGTGAACAGCTATTTAGCATTTTAATCCAGTCTTGACAGGCCAAACTATTACTGAAAGGGATGCGTTGCATTGTGGGATACAGTATCCTGTACCTTTTGCTTTGGTTTTGTACTGCAAAATTTGTGGGCCATTTAAGTGTTTTATGGATACTGAAAGTGTGTGAAAACATTTGGTGGTAAAACAATTTACACACAGAAACTGCTTGTAAATTTCACAAAAAAAATAACATGTTGAAACATGAAAAGTTTCATGAAATTTTGAAATGGAAAGACTTGTACTCTTGTAATCTATGCTTTACTTATAACTTAGTAAAAAACATTTTTACAGTATAGTTTGCAGTTTTGAATGTACCCAGTTTTTTGTTTTACTAATCTGAAAACGTTTGTTATAGCATGTTCTGTGTTTTTTTTTTTCTCCTAAGGATCTGGCCAATATTGGACCATCGTATGACAGCCAGAAGCAGATGACGGCCATCACGGGTTCTGGAGGATTGAATGGTAAAACTGTCGCCTCTAGACTCTAAAACTGATATGAATAATGAATGTATATTTGATTCCATTGTGGAGGGAGTTTCTTTAAAGCTGTGCGTTTTATTCCAGGTGGATCGACTTTTTCAGGTGAATACATTTGGCTTTTGAAATGGAAGGCTGATGTTTGGTGCTCCTGTAATGTCCCCTCGCTTTGCATTGATCTTTGCGCTCTTGATTGACTTGCTGCAGCACTAATTCATGTTTATGTGTGCTTGCGCCCCCTCTCTTCCCTTTCAGACACTGAAATCTAACCGTCATGGCTTTTGGCACATATGAGTGGACTGAGGCATTAGGGCTGTCAAATTTTTTTTTTTAAATTTCGAATATCTGTCGAATTTAAAAAAACGAAATCCACATTTGAAATTTAAGGTCTGCGTCAGCCGTCAGGCAGCCTTATCAGTGGCGCACGAGATGCGATGACGATGTATGTGTCATTGATTGCATTTTAATGCTTTTGTTAGCCTATCCAGTTGAACCCACTAGATGCGGTGCTGCTACGTTGTTCATTCAATATATTGTGGAAAACGAGAACATCAGTGTGGAGATGTTGTTGTTTACGTCAAAACTGAAGCCAAGCCGTCGACGCCGCGCCGACATACAGCGCCAATTGCGCTTCGGGTGTCACGAGTTCGAGTCCCGGCTCGCGGACCTTTCCCGATCCCATCCCCCTCTCTCTCACCTTCTTCCTGTCGACCTATACTGTCCTATCTAAATAAAGGCATAAAACACCATCAAATGAAAAAAACCCCCCCCGAAGAACAGAACGCATATTTATCACATTTTGAGGGACATCTATTAGCGTTGCACTCGCGTCTCGCAGAGAGCGGCATGTTTAGAAATCCATGTAAAATTAATGCAAGTTCAACTTTTAAAAAACATGTCTAAAGACGTTATGGCGGTTTTTCCCCGTCCCACTGTATCATGTTTTTAAATGAAGAAAGTAGCCTACTCTTTGTGATTGGTTTTTGGTCCTTTGTATTAAAACTATACATACATGCATGGTGCTGGTTTTTCTTCTTCTAATTGTTTAAGCAACTTTATTAATTATATAGGGTTTATAAACATTATTTCAAACATTATGCACTTTTTTAAAAAAGAGAGTCATGTTATTTTATTACGCTTTGAAGAAATGTGCATGATATTTTGCTTGATGCGCCCTCTTGTGGCCTCAGGAGAGAAGCCAAAAGCTTTTTTCCCCCTAACTGAAATTATGCCTTTTAAATTCAAATATAATTAACATTTAAGTAGAAATTCGAATGTAGTTTTTCAGTCATTTTGACAGCCCTATGAGGCATATTGCTTTGAAGCTTGAGCTTTGTTGTTTGTGTCAAACGCTGTGGCCTTTAGATTGAGCTCAATCCCCGGGCTGCTCTGCTGCAAGCGTTCATGCTGGATGATCAGAGCGTGTGAATCAGGCTGAGGTTGAATCTGAGACTCTGCTTCTGTCACAGGTGGGCTTCCTCCAGCTGCTACAGGAAAAGGCAGAGGAGCCAAACGCAAACAACAGCAGCTGCAGGATGGAGCTGCGGCTGGAACGGCCAAGAGAACACGCAGGTCTGACATCTTAAAGGCGATATGAAATGAAAATCCACTCCATTTGTAAATGCATATTATCGATCTAAATGTAAATGTTTCATTTGTGCATATGTTTCATTGTGTAAATTTTTTGATTGCTTCCATTGTCCTCATCTGTAAGTCCCTTTGGATAAAAGCGTCTGCTAAATGTGTCCCTGCAGCACAAAAGCAGTGTTAAGTCTCTGGGGTATATTTGTAGCAATAGCCAACAATACATTGTATGGGTCAAAATTATAGATTTTTCTTTTATGCCAAAAATCATTAGGATATTAAATAAAGATCATGTTCCATGAAGATATTTTGTAAATTTCCTACCGAAAATATATAAAAACTTAATTTTTGATTAGTAATATGCATTGCTAAGAACTTCATTTGGACGACTTTAAAGATGATTTTCTCAATATTTTGATTTTTTTGCACCCTCAGATTCCAGATTTTCAAATAGTTGTATCTCGACCAAATATTGTCCTAACAAACCATACATCAGTTGAAAGCTTATTTATTCAGCTTTCAGATGATGTATAAATCTCAATTTCGAAAAATTGACCCTTATGACTGGTTTTGTGGTCCAGGTTCACAAATGACTAAATGTAAAACATTTTAAAATATTTTATAAATATTTACATCCTTTAATGTTCCTTTCAACATTTATTAATACATTATTAAAATCAAAAGATGTATCTGTTAATACTATTTAATCGACCTGAGATAACATGAACGAATGATGAACAGTTGTGGTTTTTCACCCAATTCCCAAAATAAGTAATTCATTTAGTTAAATGATATAGATGTGATTGTGTTTTAGTGACCCGCTGTTCTCAGCGCAGCGTCTGCCGCCCCATGGTTACCCTCTCGAACACCCCTTCAACAAAGACGGGTACCGCTACATCCTAGCCGAGCCGGATCCCCACGCTCCTGACCCGGAAAAACTGGAGCTGGACTGCTGGGCCGGGAAGCCCATCCCTGGAGACCTGTACCGCGCGTGTCTGTACGAGAGAGTGCTGCTGGCGCTGCATGACCGAGGTACATGTGATATCCACAACATCAGACCCAAATAAACCTCCTGCTCGATTGCTTACTATCTTTTTACCTGTATTTCAGCTCCACAGCTGAAGATTTCAGACGACCGCCTGACGGTGACCGGAGAGAAGGGCTACTCGATGGTCCGAGCGTCTCATGGGGTCAGAAAGGGCGCGTGGTATTTTGAGGTCACTGTTGACGAGATGCCACAGGACACCGCGGCTCGACTGGGCTGGTCGCAGCCTTTAGGTCTATCCTCTAACAGCACTGCTAACAGTAACGGAAGCGTCCATGTATTTACAGCATCCGTCATGTGTCTTTCATCTCAGGAAACCTGCAAGCTCCTCTGGGTTACGATAAGTTCAGCTACTCGTGGCGAAGTAAGAAAGGAACGCGCTTCCATCAGTCCATTGGAAAGCATTACTCTGACAGCTACGGACAGGGAGACATCTTGGGATTCTACATTGAGCTTCCAGATGACACCGAAACCGCCAAGGCTCTGCCTGACACGTACAAGGACAAAGTATGAACAAATGAAATGAAATATGAATAAGATAAATTAAATCTGTACTGTAATGAAATTGAAATTTTGGTGACCGAAAATATTAAGCTGAAAATGTATTTTACTTAAAGGGATAGTTCATCCAAAAATGAATATTTGCTGTAAATGTCCTCATCCTCAGGCCATCCAAGATGTAGATGAGTTTGTTTCTTCATCAGATTTGGAGAAATGTAGCATTGCATCACTTTTCTCACCAATGGATGCTCTGCAGTGAATGGGTGCCGTCAGAATGAGAGTCCAAACAGCTGATAAAAACATCACAATAATCCACAAGTAATCCACACCATTATAGTCCATCAGTTAATGTCCGGTGAAGCCAAAAGCTGCGTGTTTGTAAGAAATAAATCCTTCATTAAGGTGTTTTAAACTTCAAACCGTTGCTTCTGGCCAAAATATGAATCCATAACACTTCCTCCAGTGAAAAAGTAATCTGGTCTGAATCAGGAGAGAAATCTGCACAGATCAAACACCATTTACAAACCAAAACAGTCCAAAACAAATATGTGGGTGGATTTTGATGTGAGAGGAGAACAGGACTTTGTCACTGGAGGAAGCGTTATTATAGATTATGGATTCATATTTTGGCCAGAAGCAACAGTTTGAAGTTTAAAAATGTCTTGATGGATTAGTTTCTTACAGACAAACAGCTTTTGGCTTTACAAGGTGTGGATTATTGTGATGTTTTTATCAGCTGTTTGGACTCTCATTCTGACGGCACCCATTCACTGCAGAGCATCCATTGGTGAGCAAGTGATGCAATGCTACATTTCTCCAAATCTGATGAAGAAACAAACTCATCTACATCTTGGATGGCCTGAGAGTGAGTACATTTTCAGCAAACATTAATTTCTGTGTGAACTATTCCTTTAACCTGTTGTCTTCATTATTTAATGCATGTTTGAATAATTTTGACATGCAATTAATTTTATTACAACCACTATATATTTCAAAAATGATTTAGAGTAGAAACATGAATATATCATTAAAAAGCTTATATATAAACTGCTTAATGTGCTATTTACATTTTTATATACAACTCGTGTGTTGGTTATTAAATACATTTTATTAATCAAATTATTAAATGAACTTTATTTTCAGTTTGAAAGCTTAAATTGAATTGTTTGTAAAAAGTGCTTTTGTGCATCACTAATCTTAAGTGGCAATGTTGATTTTTCTCAAAGGCGCTGATCAAATTCAAAAGCTATTTGTACTTTGAAGAGAAAGATTACGTGGACAAGGCCGAGAAGAGTTTAAAACCCACCAGTTCCAGTCGAGTGAGTGTTTCACTGCATTATATTCATGTGTTCACAGGGTTATTTGATTGTGATGTAATCACTAATGCGTGATTTTATTGGTATTTTTTTCAGATTATATTTTTTAAGAATGGAGTGAATCAAGGTGTGGCCTATGAGGATCTGTACGAGGGCATGTACTACCCCGCCATATCCCTCTACAAGAGCTGCACGGTGCGTGAAAACTGCCTTAAACTTGTGCTTTCTCTTTTGTGGGAGTAAATCTAGGCAAACAAAATATTTAAATTAGGGATGCACCGATATGAAAATTTTGGCCGATACCGATAACCGATTATTCTTTATTTTTGAAAGCCGATAACCGATATGTTGGCCGATAAATCTATATCCAAATTGTTATATACTTTTTGAGAGCCTGATTACAAAAAAGGTCTCATCATTAAAAGCCACATTCCAAACACTTCAACATAAGCAGCCTAGTTTGAACGGTGTACGTTTTAAAAATATTTTTACTCTCCAATTGCCAAATTTTGTCATAAAAAAGTCTTACAAATAAATAAAATAATGCATAAATAATGCAAACAAGTCACTGGACATCATTACACTTGTAAAGAATCAAAATGAATGCGCTACAGATCAATAAAACAGAATTGTATATAATGTTATATACACAACATTCCCAATCATAGTTATTAATGTTGTGCACTGCTGTTTGAGCTGCGTGTGCTGAGCTAAAGACGATCACCGGTAAACTGAAGCGCTCTTTTAACTTAACCAAACGCATTCTATATGAGATAAATCAGATATACATCAAATAAACACAATATTACAACGTACAATTGCACAAAAGGCTGCAAACGAACAGCGCGCATCTGAAGTGTCTCTGAAGGAAATAATGCATTATTTATCGGCTTTAAGATATCGGCCAAATTTTCTTATCAGGCCGATACCGATAACAGAAAAAAATGAGCATTTATCGGCCGATACCGATATGGTGGCCGATATATCGTGCATCCCTAATTTAAATAGATATTGTTCGTTTAGATACAGCGGGACAGAAACTCTCTAATTTGCTGTTTTGCATGTTAAAACTCTCATCTGAATGTGAATCATTCTTTTAATTATACACAACCAGTCATGCCCATACTACTGTTTGAGGGATGTTTTTAAAGGGTTAGTTCACCCAAAAATGAAAATTACCCCATGATTTACCTGCCTTCAAGCCATTCTAGGTGTATTTGGCTTTCTTCTTTAAGATGAATGCAGTCGGAGTTATATAAAAAAATGTCCTGGCTCTTTCAAGCTTTATAATGGCAGTGAATGGGTGTTGAGATTCAATAGTCCAAAAGAAGTCCAATAAAGCGCATCTATCCATAATAAAAAGTGGCCTCCTGTAGCGAATTAATGCGTTTTATTTGGTCAAAAATACAGATAAAACTAGGGATGCACCGAATGTTCGGCAACCGAATAAAGCGAAAAGACCGAATAAATTGTACTGAACAATGATATGACGCAATCAAATAGCAACCAGTGCAGAGTGAGAGGCGCGCACTCTTTATTATGCAGCACACACGTCAGCAGTGTGGAAGCATTTAAACTGTCGGAGAAAGGCACAAAAATCATTACAAGCACTGACAGCGAGAGACTGTTTAGGACTGCAGCGCATGTCTTCGATGAGAAGAGGAAGGGGTGATTGTTGCTGGTTACTGTATGATGACTGAAATCACGAAATGGCCTTCAACAATTAGTAAATAAACTGCAGAACGTTATGTTTTCTAATACACGCACGCATTGCATGTATTCTGACAGAGCTATCTGCTTGTTAACCAGCGTTCAAAGTCCAAAGCGTGAGGAAAATCTGCCCTGATACAGTCGTCAGTTGCTCAGTCACATTTTTATGAATTTTTACAAGGCATGTGACAATGCAATACGTACGACGTATTCGTAATGAGACTCATTTATAAATCTGTTTGCATTGAGGTCTTCCTGCGCGTTTTCGCCAAAATAAAAGTTGAGAAAAAGCAAGAACTCCAACATTCATAAATGTTAGTATTGTAATTTTACTGTTGTTCTGTAAAATAAAATAAAAAGTAAGACAATAATAATGATAATAATCAATCATTACAACAGCTCTGTTTTAATACATTTATTATAACATTCACACATAGTGTTCAAATTGGGATCTGTAATATTTTCTAATATTTTAAAAGAAGTCTCTTCTGCTCAGCAAGGCTGCTTTTAATTGTACAGTAAAAACAAAAAGTACATGCCTGATTCAAGAAGGGGGTCTGATGGCCAAAAATGATTATTTTACTAACTTATTAATTTTAAGTTAAATTGTGCTTTGTCGGTATAATGTCTGCTAGAATGTTAAAAATGTTCAGTGTTAAATATTTTTAAATTGTTGTTTTGTAATTGATTTTTTTTTCTTTGAAAAGCAAGACAAAACAGTAAAAAGCACATTTTGGCTTTTTCATTTATGCAATAGTGAAAAAAAATTGGCAAAATACATGGAGGAAAAACTGTATTCGGCCTTCGGCCCAGTCTTTAATTTTGTTCGGTTTCTGTTTTGGCCAAGAATTTTCATTTTGGTGCATCCCTAGATAAAACAGTAAAAATTGTACATTTTATGGCGATTTAAAAGAAGTGTTTTTTTTTTTATGTGAATATATTGTAAAATGTCATTTATTCCTGTGATATGCAGCTGTATTTTCAGCATCATTCTCAGAAATCAGTATAATATGCTGATTTACTGCTCGAGAAACATTTCTGATTATTATCAACGTTGAAAACCGTTAATATTTTTGTGGAAACCATTATTTTTCAGGATTCTTTGATGAATAGAAAGTTCAAAAGAGCAGCATTTATTTGAAATAGAAATCTTTTGTTACATTATAAATGTCTTTACTGACACTTCTGATCAATTTAATGCATTCTTGTTCATTTTGAAAATGAAAATATAAAAAAAATCGTACTAATCTCAAACTTTTGAACACTAGTATACGTACAAATTTGTGCTTTCCTCCATTCCGGCTAAACGGATTAAGTTTGCGTGCTCTCAGAGGTGTTTGTCGTTAGCGTCTCTGTTCATACACCTAGATGGTGCAGTATGAAAGAGTCCAGGTGATGTAATTGAAAGGATTATGTCACACATACAAACCGAAATCAGTGGATGTGTTTTATTTTTCATGCCGTTTCCTCTCTCCAGGTGTCTGTTAATTTTGGACCACACTTCAAATACCCACCAAAAGACATCAAGCATCAGCCAGTGAGTATGAAATCAAAAGTGTTTGATTTTTTTACCCGTTCCTGTAATACTGATTGATATATTCCTATTTTTAATTCCCCAAATGATGGCATAATATTTCTACTAGGGCTCTGAGATATTTATGTTGTAGTAGGGCTGGACAATCATTCAATATCAATATGTATCGCGATATAATTTTTTTCAATAACGGTGATATGATTTTTAAACACATTTCTGATATTTTGATATACATTACCAGTGTTTCCCATACATTGATTGATTTGTGGCGTTTGACTTCGTTGAGTAAACGCAAGCACTGCACGTTTCAAAATCATAACAGGGTGATTTATATGAATGTATCTCTGAAGGGAACCGACTGTCTTCAAAAAAGTTTCGATGGCATTTTCATTTGATCTGATAAAGTAGCATTCATGAGCGGAGCTGCTTTACTGGGGATACCGCGAGTTCTGCCGCTCTCAAAGCGCCTCCTGCTGGCAGAGAATGAGTTTGCATTTTCAATAATAACCCCGTCTCCAGGAACATTTCCAGTTTTTGTTGTTGTTAAATTTTTTTGTTTTCTGCAGCGACTCTCACTTTTCATACCCTTTTTTCTGGCTGAAGCACATTTGTTTTAATCTATAAGAATAATCAGCCTACACTACCAGTCAAAAGTTTTTGAACAGTAAGATTTTTAATGTTTTTTTTTTTTTTTTAAGCATTCTCTTCTGCTCACCAAGCCTGCATTTATCTGATCCAAAGTACAGCAAAAACAGTAAAATTTTGAAATATTTTTACTATTTTGAAATTGCTTTCTATTTGAATAGATTTTTGAATTTGAAAAGCGTCACTTTTTATAAGCCATATTAGTGCAAATAAATATCAATCTTTTTAAATTTCATCTTAAAATATCATTATATTTGAGCTATGTTACCCAATATTAATTATTTCTGCTTATCGTACAGTTGAAGTACAACAATCTGCAATGTTTTGAGCTGTTTTACATGATTGCACCATTGATGTTGATTGTTTTCATGGTCATAATTCAGATTTTTCTTCCCGTTTATGATCAGATAAGTGACATGGGTTGGAGTGCTGTGACTGAACACACGCTGTCTGATATGCTGTACCATGTAGAGACCGATGTAGACGGCCGACGCAGCCCCCCGTGGGAGGGTTAAAATCATGCCAGGTCCACCACCCATAAGGCTGAAAACATGCTTTTCATGTCCCATTCTCAACAGCACACAGCATTTTTGTTGTGTATTATTAAATCATTTGGTTACAGTTGTATTCTGCCCTTGTTTCTCATGCAGGATCGAAAAGATTCTTCTCATAAGTTGAATCCAGCTAGATGTTTTTGAGGTGTAGGATGGTTTATCTTTTATGTAAGTTTATACTTAGTTGTTACATATTACATTTCTTCATGCTGCAGGTTTAGTATCAGTTATACGATTTAATTTCCTTCATACAGCGATCCTTTTCCCTTGTAACGGCTCAAGTCCTGTTTGATTGGACTGTACAGTGACCAGTTCAAGTCTGATGTTCAGTTGTGTGTGATGTGCTGTGTGTTCATTCATGGTTTTTATCAGTTGCTTATTTGTTAATTGGTTTGTAGTCATTCAGATAATTGTAAAATATTATCTTTTTTTTATTTTTTTTTTTGTAAATCATGTTTTATACACAAACTTGTGTTAATAAAGGTATCTAAAGGATTATAAATGGCGTTTTTATTTTCATGCATGTATGTTTTGTGATATTTCTACAGTCACAATTCAGTATTTATTAATGCAACGACCAGACACCATTTACACAATAATTTTGTCTTTTATGTACAAATTGAGCATATAAAACATCAATCTAGTTTTGTAATATGAAAGCATGAAAATGGACTGATTTTAATTGAGCATACAAAACATACATTTGTTTTTTTTAATATGAAATAATGAAAATAGATACAATTTGCACACTGATTTTGTCTTATGTACAAATTGAGTGTACAAAATATCAATCTTTTTTTAATATGAAAAAATGAAAATGGACAATTTGCACATTGATTTTGTCTTTTATGTACAAGTTGGACGTATAAAACAAATCTGGTTTTGTATGAAAGCATTAAAATGACAATTCACACACTGATTTTGTCTTTTATGTACAAATTGAGCATATAAAATATAAATCTTTTTTGTTAATATGAAAAAATTAAAATGGACAATTTGCACACTGATTTGATCTTGTACAAGTTGAACTTATAAAACATAAATGTGGTTTTGTAATATGAAAGCATGAAAACAGACACAATTTGCACACTGATTTTGTCTTATGTACAAGTTGGACGTATAAAACGAATCTGGTTTTGTATGAAAGCATTAAAAAGACAATTTGCACACTGATTTTAATTGAGCATATAAAACATAAATTTGATTTTGTAATATGAAATAATGAAAATAGACAATTTGCACACTGATTTTGTCTTTTATGTACAAATTGAGCGTATAAAATATCAATCTTTTTTTTTAATAAGAAAAAATGAAAATGGACAATTTGACAAGTTGAACTTATAAACCATAAATGTGTTTTTTTGTAATATGAAAGCATGAAAACAGACACAATTTGCACACTGATTTTGTATTTTATTTACAAACTGAGCATATAAAACATCATAAATCCGTTTTTTGTAATATAAAGGCATAAAAAAAGTACCCAAACCCTTTACACTGTAGGGTTTGTGGAATGCTAAATGTAATTTTTAATATTATAATAAACAATGACACTTTAAACAAGCTTTCCAGTGAGGAAGCCATCGTGTCTTTTCCATGAATCAGAAATTCTGAGGATAAAAAGAGTGTTTTGTCTAGTCCTCTTCTGCTGAAGTCACTCAGAAGAACCCTGGCTGGATGAGGAGCGACAAATGGGTTCAGCTGACTGGCCCCTGGGCTACAACAGAGATACAAATTACATTTTTTATTATTTTAATCAATTAATTTTATCTGTAAATGACATCCCTTGCTCTCCTTGGTGCGTTTGTGACGTAAGTAGCGAGATTGGATTTGATTCGCAAATAAATCAAATCCGCTTCGCTCGATCCGGTTCACAAGATTCATTCACGAATCGAACTGATTCTAACGTTACACGGACTCCGGTTGATTTTCGGAGAAGATTATCAGTGTATGTCGAATTAAAGTGAAGTCACATTTCCCGATATTCGGAGAATTGTCGCGGGCGAAATCAGTTTGTGTCAATAGGAATTGACGCGATTCGGGAATTTCGTTTCAGGGCGAGATTTAAAAAGTAACGCAAAAGTAACTAAACGCATTACTTTCCATAAAAAGTAACTAAGTACCGTAATTAGTTACTTTTCTATGGAGTAACGCAATATTGCAATGCATTACTTTTAAAAGTAACTTTCCCCAACACTGGTCCTCAATCATTCAGACTTTTCTTTCGTCGACAGAACAGGTATGTAATCTATAGGCACTGTAATGTAATACTGTATACTTTCTGTAATGCTTCATACAATTTTTTGGTTCTACAAAGAACCATTCAGTCAAAGGGTCTATAAAGAACCATCTCTTTCTTACCTTTTTATAATCTGAAGAACCTTCTTTCAACACAAAGAACCTTTTGTGAAACAGAAAGGTTCTTCACATGTTAAAGGTTCTTTATGGAACCATTTAGACAAAAAGGTTCTTCTATGGCATCGCAAAGCACCTTTATTTTTAAGAGTGACCTTTACACATTTGTTATGGCTGTAGAAAAGATGCAATATGTACTGTATACATTTGATGTAACTGTATCTTGGCCAAAATGAAAATACATGTAATTCATAAAACTAATTTTGTGTCTTCTGGATATAGCGTATAATGGAACTGGAAGCAAGTGAACCACCGCACAGCTTCATCTACATGGATGAGGCTGGCTTCAACCTAACGAAAAGCAGAAGGCGTGGTCGAAATATCATCGGCCAGGCCAACGGGGCAGGAACATAACCATGGGTGCAGCTATCTCTGAGAATGGTGTGCTAACGCATATTCCCATTATTGGGCCATACAATACAGAGTGTCTTGTCACCTTTTTAGACACTCTCTACAGGGATCTCATCCCTGAACAAGAGAGGGGTCAGATTGGAGATGACCTGCCAAAGTACGTGATAGTTTTGGACAATGTCAGTTTCCATCGCTCCAACATCATCAAGCAATGGTTTGCAGCCCACAACAGGATGCTGATGGAGTTCATCTCATCTTTTCCTTTCTGTATCGCAATGACATGGTCCGTCAACAAATTACAGTGAAAGCATAAATGTGAATCTTGTCCAGTCTCTTGCAATCAAACTCCCACATACACTAAGGTGTAACCTACAATTTACAATAACTGTCATCTAAACTGTAGCCATAGTTTACATCAGAACATCCCTCCAGAGTACACTGTTATATTGACAACATGACTAAGCAATTTGACTGTCTTATCCGTACACAATGACACAAGGACTTGTCATTCTGATGGCACTGACATGTTCATTGACACAGAAATTTATTTTTTAGAGATGAACTAAGGATTTTGAGCAAGAGACTGGCTTTTGCAGGTAATCCATGGTGTTTTGCTATTTGTACGAGTTGTTTTGAGAAATGCACTTACTGTTTTGCAAATGTCAAGGATGATTCGAGAAATGTACCAAAGCGACTGTATAAACTGTAATTCTATGATAATTCCTTTTATGTAAAGGACTTTGAATTACCATTGTGTATGAAATGTGCTATATAAATAAACTTGCCTTGAAAATTAGCTGAAAATGTAGCTTATACCCTCGCCCTCAAGTTGTTCCAATCCTGTATGAGTTTCTTTCTTCTGTTAAACATAAAAGAAGATATTTTGAAGAATGTTGATAGCCCGTTTCTGGTCCCCATACTGTGGAAGTCAATGGGGACCAAAAACTGTTTCATTACCCACGTTCTTCAAAATATCTTCTTTTATGTTCAACAGAAGAAAGAAACTTGAGGGTGAGTAAATAATGGCAGAATTTTTATTTTTGGGTGAACTATCCTTTTAATGGGGCCTAGAAGCTCAAACATAATGCCCTACAGGGAGACGAGAGGCTGTTCTGTTTGAATTGAAGTGAATGGATGAGACGCTTTAATGTCGAAAAAACTAGTCATAAATCATTAGCATAGCATCAACATATTTGGCATGACATTCATTTTTAAGACCTATTTGTGGAGCTATAAATAACATACTGCAAAAGTTACAGGAATTTTGCAACAGGTGGGACTTTTTTTTTTTTTTTTTTTTTTTAAATGTTGGTATTTGCGACTTTTGCAATGTCAGAATTGTAAGATATAAACTCAATTATATTTCAGAATTAATAAAAAGGTAATCTCAACTTTTTATCTCGCAATTCCGAGTTTATATATCTTAATTCTGACTTGCGACTTTTTTTCAGATTTTTTTCTTCTCAGAATTCCGAGAACTGCAAGATATAAACTCGGATTTGCAAGAAGTCAGGCTTGTGTATATAAACTCGCAATTGCGAGAAAAAAGCTCAGAATTGTGTCATAAATTTGTAAACAAACTTGAATATTCTGTATAATCAAATTATCGTTAATTAATCACTTTTTATCCCACAATTCTGCCTTTTTCGAGTTTATATCTTACAATTCTGACTTTTTTCTCGCAGTTGCGAGTTTATTTCTTGGAATTATGAGAAACAAATTCAGAATTATTAGAAAAAGTCGCAACTCATTTTTTTTAACCTGTTTCGGAAACGGGCTTCCATAACCTTTTTCCTTTCAATTTGATGAAAATCTAGTTCGGATCATGCTCAGTCGGACCTGTTGAGGTGTTTACATGAAATCTTTTCAATCTGATTACTAACCAACTATATGTGTGCATGCAAACATAGCTAGTTTGTGTGTCATAAAGTGCAGCAGCTTCTTACGCGTCTCTTGAAGATTCGGTTCAGCAGCCGGCGCCGGCTGTATTCAGGAGGACTCCGATTGATGAACTGAGTCTCGGAGCTGGTCTGTGGGATGACGATGCTGCGGTCCAGATCTGGTGTTCTTGTTCCACACGGTCCAAACACATTCAGGTCCTTGAAACACTCGGTCTCAATCATCTAAATGAATTGAATAAAAGCATATATGAATAATTGAGCATAAATTGTCCTTCTTACTCTGATGTTTCTTCCTTACCTCATTCTGCCAGGGCACAGGCACGCTTCCTGTGTTAAACTTGCTGTAGAAATTTTCATCGACCTGATCGAGGCTCACTCCTTTAACTGTAGAGAACTGATCGATGTCCAGGACGTCTGCGCAGTAAACAGCTCTCGGCTGGTGGAGAGAATAACATCACATGATTGTTTTCAGGTGAAAACCAGCATCCACGTCAGGAAGAAAAAGTGGCGGCACCCATAGGCTATCATTCTGCCTTTTTGCAGAATAAAATAAAATAAAAAAAATTAAAACTGTAAAATTAAAAAGTAAAACATCTGGGCGTATTATATTAATGTTAATTTTGGTTTCAAACTGATTGATTTTAGGCCTCGTTGATCTGAGCTTAAAACTCAGTTTTTGAGTGAAAATGTATTATTTGTGGATAATTCTGGCAGTTTCACTCAAAAATGGAAATGCGTAAGTTCAGATCTACGATCAATTATTTCCAAAAAGAATTACAAAACCTGTGGTAACTGAAAGAAAATGAGTTGATAAAAAGATTGAATCCAGCAATATAACATAATGAGAAATTTCGAAGCAATTTTTGTAGGCTGGTCGTTTTTGATCAGGAACACCACAGGTGTAACAAGGTGAGTGAAAAAAGTACAAAAACAAAAAAAAGTGATATCCTGTGTGAGATCGGTAAGTTTTAGTCCAATGCAGAAACATTAACTATCTTTTTTTGGGGAAAAGAAAATTCTTAAAACACATGAGGGTTAATTATCATGGAACTTTTGACAATTTTAATGGCCCTAAAATAGGTTTATTTTTCTTCAATACATACACTGTTCTTCAAAAGTTTGGAGTCAGAAATATATATATTTTTTTTTTCTGAAAAAATTATAAAATTATAAAAATAGAAAAAATTCTATTTCAAGTAAATGCGGTTCTTTTGAACTTTCTGTTGATCAAAGAATCCTGAAAAATAAAATGTATCAGTTTCCAAAAGATATGAAGCAGCACAGCTTTTCAACATGAATAATAATCAGAAATCTCACTTACGTCAGGAACAAAGGGTGGCGGCATCATTCCTGCCTCAAGTCTCGTAAAGTTGATGTCCTTAAAGAACCCGTGACCTTTGATGACCTCTGATCCTCGCCCACATTTGCAGCCCAATCTCTCCTTTGGGTTTTTAGCCAGGAGCTAAATCATAAAACAATTAGAAATATTTATAGTATTCTTTTTACATAGAAAGTAAGACCTAATCAGAGCGAGTGGTAGTTTAGATGAGATCAGATCAGTGAAAACAGAGGAGGATTGCACTGATTCAACAGTGCATAAAATGCAGACTCACGCTTTTGCAGATGGATTTGGTGTCCTCGTCGAACTTCTTCCCGTAATGCTCGATCGTCTCCTGAACTCGTCTTTCCATCTCCTGTCTCGGCAGTCGTTCTTTGTGGTTGCGGAATGGAGGATTTCCCGCCGTCATCTCATAGATTAGACACCCGAGTCCCCACCAGTCCACACTTACACTATAGTATGTGTTTGTGATCACTTCTGGTGCTAAAGATGTGAAAAATATGAAAACAGGAACATATTGCATAAAGAAAATGAAACTATTGTAGGACTATTAAGAATTTTTTGTGGTTTATTATTTTGATGGTAATTAAACATTACCACATAGTTAGTGCATTAAATTGATCAAACGTGAATCACAGTTTCCAGACAAATATTGGGCAGCACAGCTGTTTTCAACATTGATAATAATCAGAAATGTTTCTTGAGCAGCAAAGCAGCATATTAGAATGATTTCTGAAGATCATGTGACACTGAAGACTGGAGTAATGATGCTGAAAATACAGCTGCGCATCACAGAAATAAATGTCATTTTACTTTATATTCACAGAGAAAACAGATTTTATTCTTTTTACTGTACTTTTTATCAAATAAATCAAGCCTTAGTGAGCAGAAGATACTTCTTGCAAATACATAAAAAAGCCCTTTGAATGGTGTGTGTGTGTATATATATATATATATATATATATATATATACACACACACCTTGCTACGTGTACTGCGTTAGGCTAACCGAGACTTGTCATTTGCACTTGTATATCGTTGCTCTTTTGTTAGTTTTGACTGCTTTTATTGTCCTCATTTGTAAGTCGCTTTGGATAAAAGCATCTGCTAAATGACTAAATAAATAAATAAAATAAAATAAATATATTAATATCTAATACGATTTACTAAGATGATTTTCATACCCATGTAACCCACTGTTCCCACTCTGCCCTTCACAAGTTTTTCTTCTTTCAAGATTATGGCTAGTCCTAAATCAGAGATCCGAATGTGACCTGTCAGAAAACAGGGACAGAATGCAAAATTATATACATCATCTAACAGGTAATAAAAAGGTACAAAGTTTTTTATGAGAGTGTACAAACCATCTACTTTTGTAAGAAAAATGTAAGAAACTTGAACCTTACATACATAGACTCACAATTGCAAAAAAAAATAAAAATCTGAATTGTGTGATAAAAAGCAATTACCTTTTATTTGTGGTGGGAATAGATAGATAGATAGATAGATAGATAGATAGATAGATAGATAGATAGATAGA